AACACTTAAGCATTTTATATAATCCTTGCAACAACAGTAAGTAGTATTATTATCCCACTTTATGTATGAGAAAACTGAGGCATAGTGAGAATCTTACTTGCCTTGGATCACACAACTGGTAGGAAAGAGGTGGAGATGAAATTTATACACAAGAAGTTTGATTACAGAGCCCACTCATTTACACTACACAGATTCAAGATAACGATGTGGCACGGAGCGACTTAAGGCCATTTGTCCCAAAATCTGTGCCAAGGCGAAGATTCATACAGGCACCATGGTATGTTAAAAAATTTTAAAGGAGCCCTTGCCAGTGTGGCTCAGTTGATTGGGTGTCATTCCATGCACCAGGAGGTTACTGGTTCGATTCCAAATCAGGGGCACATACCCGGATTGTGGGCTGATTCCCCATAGACGGCATGTTCTCACATCGGTGTTTCTATCTCTATCTCTTCCTCCCTTCCTCTCTCTCTAAAAATCAACAAACTATTCTTTTAAAAAAATTTTTTTAAAGGAAACACAGCAATAGTCAACATTTCTTATATACCATGCAAACTACCAGCTTGAGGTAATTCACAATTTGAACATTAGATTGTGCTACATTCCTGTTCATTTCAAAATATCTTTGTGAAACCTGATTTTAGGAGAACTTTCTGATAAAAAATATAAGTACTATGTGAAAATCAGCACAGAACAGGAAATGGGGTTAGTAGTATTGGATTCCAAGATTTGAGAAGTTGTGCAGTGTCCAACCGGCACATAAATTCCTTTAGTAATTATTTGTGGCTATTTAAGAAAAAATAATTAAAATATTTTTCTTCCAACTTGTGTGTATTGTTTCTTAAAAATGGTTACTAAATAGCTATGAACCAACTACTTTAAATCCACACTGTTAGGTATTTCTTTTGATTTAGAGGTGCTGTAAAAAAAATTGCTGAGGTACTAAGCTCACTATAAACTAAGAAATTGGGGACCTCTGGTAGGGGTGCTGAAAATAGATCAAAATGGTCATGAGGGAATAAACCAGCAATTTTCAACTAGAGTGCCGCAAGAATTTTTTAAAACATGCAATACATGACGATTTAGCCAGGGCCATGGACTGATTTTCCCTTAGACTGTCAAATAAAAAAATGACAAAGGCTACATAACAATAGCTGTCCAGTGTGAATTAATCAAAATTATCTTTTTTTGTCACATTGGCAAAAACCGTATTTTTTGGTGTGACGCAGAATTTTAGTGATTAGTTTATATGTGCCATGCGATGAAAAAGGTTGAAAATTGCTGGAATAGAGTAGGGGACCTTCTCTTGAGATGACTGTAAAAAATAATATAAACAGAGTCACTTTACGTATGAGTCAGAGCTGCTTGTGCAGAGGAACTGCCTTGTATGCCCTACTCCTCAAACCCTTGAAATGTTAAAATGGGCAAAATAACCTTTGGACTTAAGAAGCTTTGTATCCTGAACAACTGTTTCTGTGGATAAGAAGAAAGCAGATGTTATAACTACAGGCTGGAAAACATTCTTTAGCATTATCATCATTGTATTAGCTTATCTGCACCTATAGAAATTCCTTCTATTTGTGTATTTGTGCTCGTGTTCCTTTCTCATAAGTACCCCTTCCTTTCACTTCCTATTTGGGCTGCTGCCTGAATCCGTGCTTCCTGAATAGCTATTCTTTTGAATCTCAAAAGCTCATTTGCTACTCACTTTGGCTTTTATTATTTTTATTTTCAAATTATAAGAGAAAGTTCATTTAGAAAGTTACAGAGGTAGTAGAAGTGAGCCCACTGGGCTTCGTGGACTCTGGAAAGAAGTTACCGAGGCAAAAGAAGGGCCCTTGGAGTTTAGGAGTGAGAAAGGCAAAGGTGACCGCCTGGGGGGAAGTAGCGGGGGAAGGGAAGGACATGGGCATGCTCCAGAGAGGGAGAGCCTACGCCTATTATTTTTAAGTTAACAAGACCTAAAGGGATATAATAGGCACTTAATAGGTATTTTATATTTTTGACCGTTAAGTCAGTGTTCATAGTTCAGCAGATGCACACAAACACGGAACACCTGAATCTGTACACTTTAAAGGTCAAAACCTGTGAGGATAAAGGTAAGAGATGTAAATAAACCAAGGTTAAGGGTAGGACTGGACCCAAGGCAGGGTCTGATGCAACCTAGAGCCTGGGCCCTCTTGTCGAACAGACCAAGATAAAGATGTGGTTTGAGGAGGCCTGCTGTGCCTCATAGGGTAGACTCCTCTCTGGGCCATTGGTGAATCTGAGATTAAAGAGATTGGGGCTTCAAGGGATTATGCAGAACACTGGTTGCTGAACTTGAATTCAGAATAAAGAATGTTGTGTAGTTCTGAAGGTTATGCCACTTGGCCAAGGTGGAGTCTGGTAAATTGTCCTTGCCTGTCACATAACACTCCATTTCTTGGATGATGGGAATGTTTAAATATACTGCAGACTCTTCCCCATATGATGCTATAGAAACACTGCAGAAAATTGATACTTGACCCTGAATTTTCTTTTAGGAGATGTATGGCAGATCATCTATTTTTGGTTTCACACATACTAACTTTAGGCAGGGGTGGAAAACGTCCCACCTGAGGGCCATATGTGGCCCTCGAAGTCATTTGGTCTGGCACTGCTAAGGCAATCGCAGGCGGGACTCGAAATTCAATAAATTCAATTAAATGTTTAACCAAATATAGCAGGCTAATTTTTATGTGGATAATTTTGTATGGCCTGAGAATGATGCTATAAATATCCAAATGTCCTTGGCAGAAAAAGTTTCCCCATCCCTGCTTTAGAGAGTCCATTAAAATGAATTGATTAAGTTTGTACTTTCTTAGATATAATCATGTTCTAATCTCTTTTGTGTAAAGCGGGTTGGATTTGGAGTGTTTAAAAAAATTTTTCAGCACTCAAATTGGGTAGATATTTCCTGGAACAGATTTAATATCATGCTTTTGATGTTTCAATTGTTCATAGTCTCATTACTAAGATCACTAAGCTTTACTTTATTTTTTAAAAAATTTATTGGTTGCCTCTTGTTTGTGCCTTGACCAGGGATTGAACCCACAACCCTGGTGTATCAGGACAGTGCTCTAACCAACTGAGTTACCCAGTCAGGGACACTATGGTTTACTTTAAATGAGCCTGTTATCTTTGCTAAAATTACTGGATGAATAGGGATAGTAATAATAATAATAATAAATACAATAATAACAATAATGATAGAATAAAGCATTCATTTGGCACTGAGCTCCATATGTAGAGTCTTAACTCTTATATTCCTAACACTAGAACAGAACAGAGTTTGGAGCATAGTTGATGCTCAATAATGTTTCTTACATGAATGAGATAAAAACAGGGTTGGGAAACAGTGGCTTGGACCATGGTGATGGGAAAAATGGCAAGCAGGAACAATTAGACTTTAGGTGAGTGGACACAGGTGGCAAATAGATATAACTAAGCAAGGGCCATTGATTTGCGATTTTATGTGAGGCTGGTTAAAATTGTAAAAGTGCGGAGAGGAAATAGCTGAATCCTTACAAGGATGTTATATTGGGTAGTTTTGTTACAGGAGTCCTTCTCTAGCTATCTGTATTGCTTGGATCCAGGATTGTGTAAATCAAGGTCTTGTCTATTTTCCCATCTCATCCCACCCTTTGTCTATGTTGAGAATCCAGGAATTCTTTCCCTTAGAACTTTTATCTTCTCCCCACCTGGGCCTAGATTTAGACCCCTAATCTATCTCCCCAAATCCTGTAACCTCCAGGTCAGCAATGTTGCTAAGGTCGACCCAGTTTCCCTTGTCCAGGAAGCAGCAACTCAGACACAACTCGGCTCACTTAATTTTCTTCTGGGGTTGCACGATCTAATGTTTACATTTTTCTCTTTTTAATCTCTCACGGTGTGCTGCAGCACCACCCCGAATAGGGTTGCAGGTTCATGGGCGAAGGGTGGAGGTTGTGTATGTGC